AAATTTTAGTTATTTCCTAAGGAAAAAATACAGTTTTCCACACCTTTTTACCTTCTTACTCAAGCATTTCTATTTATGTTGTAAATGTCTACACATCTAAATAATGTGAAATATATTTTATATTTGCTTCATGGAAAGCACATGGCTAAAGACTGATTTAACTGCCTCATTTTATAACTGAATTGTGTTATTCTGTTAGAAAATCATTCTGATATCAGATGCATCATTTTGCAGAAGGACTATAACACGCATCACTGCACAGAGAAACCAAATGCTCTTGGGAGGAGGGCATGGATTAGAATGACCCGTACATTCCAACATCCACATCCCAGGTCCCACTCACACTCTGCTCGGTATGCTAAAAGGAATCAGGCAGAATGTATCCTCCTATCAGGTATACAGCTGTTGTTTGGACTGTTTTTTCCTTCTATCCTTAAACTTTTGTTTGTTTGTTCTGAGGGATCCATAAGCAAAATATCCAAAGAGCCCCTTAGAGACTCATAGTTACAGCCAGAAGCAACAGTAAACAAGTGGATAATTGGTGTTTTGCCAAATGTGGGAGAGCGACAGACTTGGATAAGAAATTATAGATATTCTTTAGGGAGAGAACATGGGAAAGGAATAATTTTAAGTCTCAGTTTCCATACAAATGGGATGCATTCAAGAAATTAGCCAATGCACTTCACTTGCTATGTTTATAGAGGATGCAATTTTAAAGACATACATTTTACCTTCATTTAGATTGTTTCACCTGTTTTTCTAATACTTATGAAGTCCTACTTCGTGCCAGAAATGTTCATTCATAACTCTGTCCTGAATAGAAGGAATTTAAAAGGAACATTTATTTAAAAGACTTTTCAGGCTCTTAAGAGCTTGAAATCATCACTTAAATTTTGCTGCAGATAGTCCAGCCCCCTTTCATTCAATCAGTACTGATCTTCAATTCACAGAATATATAATGAGGAGATATATTCACAAAGGTCTCTTTATTATGAATAAAAGGGCCGGAAGGAAATTTCAGCGGCTGTAAACTTTTTAAATTTTATTTGCTGAAAAAGGTAACAGCACCCAAGAAAGCATAGGAAGAAAATTTCAGTGAGTAAAATATCTTATTCATGGTTATTTGTTGAAATAAAATTTAGTAAGTCTTTAAGAAATATCCTAAAAATATCCTAACAAGGAAGTTAACACTTTGAAAGCAAAGAAAAAGTACATGACAAATTAGAGTGGTACCCTCCAAACGCTAGTAACATGCATGTTAGCATACTTTAGTCACATCAAGTATGGTCAATATTAAATTACACCTGGGACTAGTAATACAAATGTGAGTCAGAATGAAATGTTAAAAAAATGGCAAGAGAATTGAGAGGGCAAAGTATAAGGAAAATCCTGCAGTTGCTGAAGATGTTATCAACTTATTAAGAATATTGTGATATTTCAACCACTATAACTGATGAAAAAGAGTCAGCCAATATTTTCCTTCCTGGCCCAAATGATATATGACATAAAGAAAATATTTCTTGAATGTTTTTGTTTATTTATTTATTTTGAGAGAGAGAGAAAGAGAGCAGGGGAGGGGCAGAGAGAGAGGGAGAGAGAGAGAGAATCCCAAGCGGGCTCCCCCCTGTCAGCACAGAGCCTGATGTGGGGCTTGAACCCACGAACCATGAAATCATGACCTGAGCTAAAGTCAAGAGTCAGATGCTTAACCAACCAAGCAATCGACGTGCCCCAAGCATCTTGAATTTTTATTTAGCCAGTCACCAAGCCCAGTAATTTGGTAGCAAGGTAAGTACTAAGTATCTTTGGATGAAGGGTATAGGCAAATAATGCAGCAATTTTTTTTTACTAAATAATTCATTGTTTTGACAAAGGGTTTTTAAAACCAAGGTGTGATTTCTTATATTCTTCACATGGTTACTTAGACCATTTCAAATATAATATTACTGGGGCACCTGGGTGGCTCAGATGGTTAAGCGGCCTACTTCAGCTCAGGTCATGATCTCATGGTTCATGGGCTTGAGCCTTGCTTCAGATGAAAGCATGAAAGATGAAAACTGTATCTAAAGTTAAGAAATTATGAGACGTTCTTCAGTTTGCCAGCACATTTATTTTTTTCCCTTTGGGGGGCCATGTTAATTTTATGAGTATTGTTACAAATTTGAATTTCTTATTACGAAAGTACATCTTAAAGTGAGCAGGCACTAAACCATTAGTGTGGCCTATAATTAACAAAGAAACAAAGGAGCGTGCTCTAAAGATGGTCATCATTTTGCTGGAGTCTTGTCCTAACCCATCAACAGAGAACATGTGTGGTCATAAAATACCACATTAACGCATTCTTTCCCTGTCAGAGTAAGCTACATGGAGCTTGCCAAATTCCAACTCAGGTAGCTCCGTTTTTCCAGCCCAAATTCCTGCTGTTTTTTCAACTGGGTGAATTATTTCTACTTCCTCTCCTTTAGAGTTGCTGGCTCACGTAGGTTATCGGGTTTCTATCTCAGTGGCTGCTACATTTCTACAGTGAGTGAATGATCCTTCAAAGGTACTTGGGGATGAAAGCTAGTGGATAAATGTGAAGAATTATATTTTTATTTCTTCTCTTTGGAGAGATTATTCCCATAACTTTTGTGTTTGGTTTGGAGGGCTCTTAGGATTTGATTTCTCTTCTGAATAAGCGAAACAGCCACCCAGATGGCAAGCACTTCACATTTCAGCACAGTGTAATTTGATTTGGAAGTTCAATGAAACTCATTTGGAAATGTCCCTCCAGTAATATTTCCCCTCTTAAAAAATTCAGTCTTAAGTTGCCAGTTTTATGCATAAATAAGCTCCAGGGAGCCTTAGTGGTGAGTGGCGGGGCGACTGAAGAAATTGTTTCAACCTTTTAAATGAAATGTTGAAAATAAGTGGTGTTCTAACCTTCCTGGGATTTCACTATAGACGTAGTGTTCAGTCTGGATTTTCAATGTTCAATATCACTTATAACATTCTTATGAATCATATTCCAAGGTCTGTTTTTTGTTTGTTTGTTGAAGGATATTGACTCTAGTCAGTGAATATTTATGGAGGCCCATTCTGTGCAAGATGTATGGAAAAAGGAATGATAAGAAAATCTCTTCCAAACGTATCCTGATTTTCAGTCTATGAACTTACCCCCCAAAGCACTAAAAGCATTAGAAACAAAAACTAAGTTTAACAAATGCATGTATTTTAATTCATACGCTGTCATTTCTAACATCGACAGTGATACTTTTGTCACAAGTATCACTCCCAATACTAAAAGTTTAAACTTACTTAGGCAAACTTATTTTCATACTTAAATTCTCCTTTCCTCATATTCTGTTCACACACACACACACACACACACACACACACACAATGGGTGAACAGAGGAACACCAGCTACCTTCAAACACTAGTTTTCTTTACAATTTTATATTCTTTAAGAATATTACATGTCTTTCTTTATCGAGGCTCCTGGAGACCTTCATTACTGTGTGAAATCTCATCTCAGTACTGCACTGGATTTATTTTTTAAAAATCTGTATACACCTGGACCTGTTAAGTTCAAACCTGTGTTGTTCAAGGGTCAACTGTATATATGAATGAAGCGTTGCTTACTTGGACTCAAGTACCATGACTGGGCTGGGGAAGCAGAGAGTGGGGTTGGGACACAAGGCCCATTAGAATCAACTGTCTGGAGTAAGTTCAGGGACTATAAAGTTCTTCGGCTACACAGGAATATCTGTATCCACACAAAATCAAGCGTGTGGTATTCTGATTATTCCTCAGAGGGGAGTGTTAAGTGTTAACCCTTTAGTTTGAATAGAATGTCCTTACATGTTATTTTACACTTTCCAATTTTTTGCAAACAGGGTGACCTAATGTTAGCATACAACTCTAAGCATTGCAAGTGTAATCACAGAAATTCATACATCTGTACATCTGTGTCATACCCATATCAGAACCTCACAACACTGTGGGGAAAAATAAAGATTTCTAGTGGCACCCAGTTAGGTGTTAGGGATAGCTCTCTTCAATTTAAATTTGGGATCTCCTTCATTGTACCTTCACAGTACTGGCGTACTTTGACAAGGATGCTATTTAAAATTTTTTAATGTTTACTAATTTCTGAGAGAGAGAGAGAGAGAGACAGAGAGGGAGGGGTGGAGAGAGAGGGAGACACAGAATCCGCAGCAGGATCTAGGCTCTGGGACTGATGTGGGGCCTGAACTCACGAACCGTGAGACCCTGACCCGAGCTGAAGTCAGATGCCTAAATGAGCCACCAGGCACCCTGTCAAGTATGCCATTTTTAAACCCCAAGAATGTAAAAGAAAAAGAATTTCACTGTGTCTTAAGTGAGGTATTCAGGTACCTCATCTAATTAAATGGAATCAAATGGAAATCTGGATCAGACATGGTACCTTTTTCTATTATTTCAATGTGGACATTTGGTAGAAGTTTAAAGTGGTCAACCTCTGTAATTTATATTCTAGATTAACAGGACTTTAGATAAATAACTTTAATTCTTAATTGAGATGCCTTTCTGAGGACTTCTACTGATACAGAGAAAGGCACCAAGAAGAGAATATAAAAAGTTCCCCTAAAGTCAGAGAGTAAAATATAACTAACTAACATATGTCAAAATAGTTCAGTTTCTCTAGCTGGCAGTGTTTTTAGAAAGTATTCCTTCTTTAGAAAGTATTCCTACAACCATTTATTTTTTGAAAAATAAATGGTACACTACAAGGTGTTTTATACCAGATATTAAGTACCAATTTGTGTTTTCAGAATGAGACACATTTACTTCATAGTAGCTGTACTTATTTTAGAGTTCAATTGGCTCAGTTTAGCATGACTGCAAAGTTAGTATCATTGCTCTCAGCACCAAAAAAATAAATATGATAAGGCAACACATATAAAGAAACACCAAAAGAATCGAACTGAGGTTTTAAAATCAATATGATGATCAACTGATTGTGGCGCCAATAAGTACCGATTAAGGTAGAGATGAAGGATGAATTGGGATCAAAAGGACATCTGCCCCTTCCTCTCTCCGACCTGTGCAGTTCCAGATGAAACAGGGGGTCCTAGGAAGAAAGCCAGAGAAGCCATTATGTATTTGCCAACTTTAATAAGAATCTAATTGCTCAGAGAAAACATAAACATGTTGACCTTTTACAGAATTGCTATTGTAAATAGGGCACAAGTGAGTAACATCAAGTTATTTAGGACCAAACTGGGTTTTGTCAATGAATAGATGGGTTTTCAGGCCCACGTGGATTCTCTCGCTCCTTCCCAGTAAGAAGACAGGTGATGAAATGAAAGAAGTTATTCACAGTTTTTATCACTCCAAAGAAATGAAAACTCGCTGAAGAAAGGTTACTAAAAGGGAGCTTCAGTGTTAAATACAGAAATGGTCTTTTATGCCAGAAAGGCCATGACTGATTTTTTTTGAAGCATCCATAAAAGAAAATATAAATTTTTTTTATCAATTTGGATTATTTATTTCCAATCATTTTCATTCCTCATCACATATTCTTTGTATAGACACTTATCTCTAATAATTTAGAGAGTGATGGCTGCAAAAATAATTACTGGAACATAGATGCATAAATAGTCACATTATGAGCAATATGTCAGACTCATGCCACATAAATGAGAATTTGAAAATAAATATTTCTGTAAAGGACTAGTACATTGGTTCCTATTGCAAACCTGTAACCACAGAAATGTTCTCTGAATATTCTCAGGTTTCAAGATCCTTATTAGTACAGTTTTATAATTATTATTAATTATAAAATTATAAAATTATAAACCATGCTATAAATGGTTTGGGTACAAGAAAGCACTTTGGAAAAGTGACAATAGGAGTCAATATAGAAATTTTTATAGGAAAAAAATCCCACTACTTTGCAATAAAATACTGCCGATACTGCCCACTGGTATTTATGAATAGCCCTGACCATCTGTGAACTACGAACCTAAAAGCAATCCTAACGTCCCGAGTAACCTTTGAGAGTTGCCGGTACTTTTCTCAAGCTTGATTTTGACTTAGCCAAGCTCCTTACTTTATGTTACCTGTTCTGTCCCTATCTTGCATTTTATTTGACACATTTTTCCTTCTCTCTCTGATTTTCTATAACTACCATTCTGATCCTGCTATTCCGAAACCTTTCCAGTAAATGCGGAGTTCACCTGACCCCTATAATCCTTCAGTCTTATCCCTGGAATTGAATGATAGCCATTAGAACAAATATATGCTCCTGACCCAGAGGTGCCCAAAAGCCATAAAACTTTTTTTAAGTCAATTTTTTCCCTACTCATACATGTTACACAAATTAGCAGAGAGCAAGAACGCCAATAAGTAATTTGAGACATTTTTGGTTTTGGTCTTCAGAGATGAAAAATTTGCAGTGATGGAAGGAAAAAAAAAAGTTTGTTAAAATGAGACAGAATTATTGGTCCCCACCCCAAACAGCTGTGCTTAAGGGTGTTTATCTGTTTGCAAATCAGACCCACAGCATTATATGAAGGAGAAAGTGATCAAGTGTGTCAATGTAACACATGTCTGACCCTTTAGTCACACTGCCACTTTGTGGATATTTGAAAAAAGTAAGTAGGACTTACATTTTACATTTTTTCTAATGCAGTCAAAAGTCCCAAGTTTTGGTCACAGAAGGCCGGTAAAGAGATAGGTATACTCAAGTGCTTTCTTAAATCAAGAACATTCTATAACTTTAAAATTCTGATACTGAACTTTTTTTAAGTCACAAATGACAGAGAAAGGTAATTTACCTAAGGGATACCTTCAACACTAAATTGAAGAGAAAAACAAACATTGCTTGTTTATTCAAGTCAGCACAACATATGAGGTTTAAACTGTCAAGTAGACGAAACATAGAAAATGCAAATGAAGAAATCTAAGATAGAGAGAATCTCAAACTTTGAAGAAGGGTAATTACATGAAGGGGATGGAGTCACACTTTCTTAGAGAAATCACAGGTCTCCTAAATCATAACGAAGGCTCCCGAGGCTACTATTGGTGAATGTCAGCACATGTCTGAGGTACTAATCACCTGGCATATCAGCGTCTTCAGCTTTCAAGAGAGGTAGACTGAATTGACAGAAACCTACATTCAAAAAGATGCCTGTGACCTTAACACTTTGCAAACCCATTTTGCAACGGGAACCCAGGATCATGTGGAATTTTTAGTTACATATGAGGCACAATTCTGTGACATACGTAAAACTATCTGCATCTGTAAAAGGACATACTCTTCTACAAAACCTCAGATTTAAACCTGAGAATAAATGAGTGCCAGATACTCAAATATTCTCAGAGATGTATGCCTCATGTCCAAACTCGGATGTACCTTGACAGATCTCTTCCTCTGTTATGCAGAAGATTTCAAATATCTATCTGATTTTATGATTAATGGCTAATACTATAACTCAACATATAGTCATTGTAAAATAAAAAAGTTAAGTTAAAACTTTTTGCCTGCTTTTTACATCACTATTAAAATGCATATTTTTGAATAGTTTAAAGGATAGACATAGCGTTTTAAGTTAAAAATGCATGTGTTCTTCGGTTTCTAATTGTTTAGCCCACTAATGAATAAAAAGAAAAAAAAGATAAACTCCTGTAATACCTTTACTTTAAATAAGCACCATTATCTTTACACACAAAGAGAAGGAAGGTCCAAATCTTCAGAGGATGTAGTCATTTCAGCTACACATAGCACCTGGTTAACAATACTCCAGGAGTCAAATAATGTAAAAATAAAAGACAATGACAAATTGGATTGCACAGTGGGATACTTCTTAAATCTGAAAATGACTGAAAGATGCATTTTGAAGACTCATATTCCTAACAAACTAATGAAGAGTTGTTCTGAACACTCGAAGCTTCTGTGACTGCTCTCGCAGTGTGTGTACCAGCCAATCTGAACTACTGGCAGGTTTCTGAGTATCTCTTTCCAGGCTCCTCAATGTGTTCAGGGCAATAATGCCCATATGATGTTAAAAATTCAGCAAAGAATTTATTACACCCAGGAATCTTGATCTGACCTCCCTGCACACCCGAGAATCTCTTCCTTTTCCGTTTTGCATCCTCGCAAGCATCATATGAATCCCTCTTTTATATCATTTACTTTTCTGTATTATAATCGCCTATGTGTCTAACTCTCCTTCCTACTGGTTTGCAGGGTTTTTTTGAGGAAACTGCCCATGTGATGTTAATCTCCAATCTGGCACATAATAAATGCACAACTGCTTGTGATGTTTGAAAAACTACTACCTTTCTAGAAACGAACGTCTTTTTTTGCCCATGCTTATTTTCTTTTATATCTAAAAGAACTCACAGAACTGTGGCATACAAGTATGTTGATTCAAAACTAGACAATATGTACAAATTATTATGCTGTTCTATATTGTATACGGTTTCTGAGGGCTACTCATATAGAAACGTCATGGTCCTATTGTTTTTAACTATATTCTGATTGCCACTGGCTTTAATAAAACTATTACATTGCTCAAAATACTGAAGAATAGCCATGTTCTTAATTTCCCCAGCTATTTAACGAAAATAATATACATATATATACAAGTATATACTTATATGATTTATGATGAATTCTTTCTAGTATTAATGGATTACAGGTTAGAATAAATATAACATAATTGGATATTCCATGGCATTTATTAAAAATAAAATCAAATACTGAAGAATAATAATGGTATTTATTTTAATCCCAATGACCTTATTATTATGTTTTATAATGTATATTTGTTTTTGAGAGAGAGAGAGAATGAGCATGCACAGAGCAGAGGCGGGGGGCGGGGAGACAGAGGATCAAAAGTGGGCTCTATGCTGACAGCAGAAGCCCGATGCAGGGCTCGAACTCATGAAACAGGAGATCATGACCTGAGCTGAAGTCAGACCCTTAACCTACTGAGCCACCCAGGCGCCCTCCCACCATGACCTTATTAGTGACAATACGTAATTTGAAGTAACATGAAGGTGTGACATAAAGGTATACTCATTTTTAGTTAAGGCTTGTCACACAGGACTGATGTTTTTTCTTTTTAATGAGTATAAGGTGTTTCTTTGATAGTGTGGTGTGTAGTCATGAAACCATAACACTGAGCTGAGACCAAAGACTCAATTCTTAATTCGTATCAAACAACTAACTTGACAGTAGTTTTTAATAATTTATCTGATCTTTTGTTTCATGCTTTTAGAGTGGAGACTTTCTTTATACCTTGTTAGGCTACATAGGACAGAAAGGTACACTGGTTCGATTCATCTTAGTGCCTCAGGATTCAATATATTATTTTTGCAATTTCATACAACAGAGATGTGGACATTTTTGAGAAGAGGTAAAGAGAAAAAAAATGTATCCTAGCCTGGATAATGCTGATATGATAACACAACCCACAGGCAAATTCCAAACTTCTATTGCTTTGTTCTGCACAGATCAAGCTGACTTCAAAATTAAGTAGTTGCTCACATCATTTTGAGAGTTCACTGTGATCTTAAATGCAGTGTTTAATTTAGTGCACAATCCAATAAAATACTAAAAAGTGAGTAATATCATTTTCTTCCATGAAGTGGAATTCAGCAACCAAACCAACCAGAAAAATTGAGGCATGATGACACTGTCAGTGACCCCAAAGCAATTGCGCTTATGGTTCAAGTAATATGTAACGTTGGTGTTTAACCTTATTGAGAATGTTGGTCAGTGCTTCCCCTGGCTTTCCATTATCTGTGTTTTAACAGCTGGAATTTCTGCGTGAGTAATGTGGCTTACATTTACAAGACATCACCGGAATTAGCAGTGTGAGCTACGCGTTTTGTTTCAGTGTGGTATGAAGAAGTTTTTCAATGGATTCTCTTGTGCTTGAAAGAAAGCACGGCCTATGGTTTGCAAATGCGTGAGCAGATGCGCGTGCTCTTCAGAAAAATGTTTAAAGAATAAAAGGTAAGTCTTTCCAGGAGAGTTTTCCCCTAAAGGCCTTGAGGGGAGTGCTCAGGACCTAGCCAGCCTGCTGTAAGCTCTTTTCAATATGTGAGTTACTACACATA